TTCGCTTACTTTAGAGTTTCTTTATCTTACTGTGATGAACAAACGTTATTTGAATTATTTCTATCCAACAATTATTATTAATAACGTCGAGTAAGTAAAATGATCAGAAGATACCACTGTACTTCATTAATGTTTTTTCTAATTTTTCTCTGAATATAATTATATTTTCTCACTTTCACAAACGTATATACGTTGATTTTTAATATTAGTGTCCGTTGAAAATATAATTTTTCTCGTGTTGTCTATACATATTTCATGTAGAATTTATTTGTATTATGCACTCAACCAGGTGAGAAATATACATATGCATCAGTCCTGGAATACATAAAAACAGCAATAAAAGGAAAGAACACCTGTCTCTAGAAGAACAGTTCAACAATTCAACAGTTCTTCAGCTCATTTGAAATTTATTCCATAAATATTTCTTGCGAGTGTTTCTACTACATATTGGAATTCCAGCATCTTCTATCGTCCACGGAGACATAAAACACAGGCGGTGTTTCCCCTCGAGTAAAAAGGAAGAAAAAACACAACACGACAGTCGTGGCAGGTTACGTGTCACTGCTAAATAACTAATACGAGAAAACTCGAAAAGTAGATCAATAAAAAAAATACAAATACCACGTTGTACCTGTAAAAAGAAAATGCAACATATTGTTTGAGTGACGGATAAAAACAATGATTAATAATTTACTAATTGCGTATAAATAATATAGATTTATCTGGTTAATAATTCATTCTATTGAACAATTACTTTGTCGTCGATAAATAATCTCACTTGAAGTTTATTGAAAAGAATGTTTAAAAATTTGGTACATAAGCTGGGTGTTCCAAAATTTGACTTACTGAAACCAAACTCATTGAAGGATCTCATTGCTATTAAACAATGTGATAAATTTCAAATCGATATCATTATTGGTTTTTAAAAAATGAATGAATGAAAAAGTAGAAATTTTCTTAGATATTCTTTAGAAAATTTGCCTTTTGTATAAATAAATTTGCAGATTTATTTGTATATTCCTAATTGGTAATGGTTTTTTTTGTAATATTAAGATATATAGAATTTGAAATATATTTTATTAAGATATTGAGAAAAATAGAATTTATAATATAGTATTTTATATACATTATATTTTCATTATTTCGAACAACTTTACTTTCCTACAAAGCATAAAAACAAATAAATCGGCTAATATTCAGTTTCAGTATTTAATACATTTTAATTTACTAACGAGTAACAAATATACGGGCTACAAATCAATATTTATCGAAACAGTTATATGCCATAATCATGTGTATGCAGTACTACTAACTGTGTCTACTTTTTAAATTTGATATGATAAATTATGTTATAACTTTTTAATGATGCAGTTAATTTTATAAATATGTAAATTTTACATTTACAAATTTTAATATTTATATATTTAACAATTAATTACAATGTTTCTATAAATTTACATTCATTAATTGCAGACACAGAAATTTGAGAAAGTAATTTATTTTTTACTCGAACGTAATACTTTTTACAGCGTACAATAAGAAATACTATTATATTCGATATTCAACAAGTCTTTTAACACAAATTAAAAATTTGTATACTATGATTAAGTACAAAATGCTAAAATATTTGTACCGAATATAAGTACTTGATGTTTTATATGTATTTTAATTAGAAAAAACTTTCAAACTCGTCTCTAATAAATAAATAAACGTGTAATAATGAGAAATGTAAAATAAGTTTCATTAAGTAGAACCAGAAAGTCGTCGTATGCTTGGTCCGTTTATGAGAGAATGTCAATACTCCGAGAGCCAATCAATGAATTAAAGGCAATGTTTACGTAGATTGTCCCGATCGCGAAATCCGACAGGGATAGTGCCCAAACAAATTTCCGGATAGACGATGCAATCTCATCAATGTGAAATCGAATTAGCCGAGACCTGTACGGAAATACTCAGAATCGAACGGTAATATCGAATTATCCGAGGAGGTGTCCGTCCCACGTTGAATTCGCGCCGAGACCGTGATCGTTGCCACGTCCATTACACGACGACATACAGTGAGTGTAAAAAGTATTCGTACACTAGTCAATTTGAACAAAAACTTTGCAGAACTTTGTTTATTACAAAAGTATGTTAACAAAAACATGCATACATATTCTTAGAAATCTCTGGAACAAATGTCATTAACAACAAATTATTTATTTATATTTATTATGAAAATATTAACAAATTTCCAGAAATTGATCTAAAATATACGCGTAATAAGTATTCGTACAGTCTTTGATTCGTAACATTCCACATAGAACGATTACAAGATAATCCATGATATGTAAACATACTTAGCATCAGTATGTCTGGAGACGCTGTCGGTATAGGTAGTATCCTGAATTCAAACATTATCAACGAAATTATCAGTAAAATGGGACGAAAACGCAAGGAAACCTCTGAAGAAGAAAGGAAAATTGTTATAAATTTACATAATAAGTGTAAACACTGAGTAAAATTTCTAAAGTTTTAAATAGACCGAGGTCCACGATTCAAGGAATCATTGACAGATTGTATCCCGATCTTGCCTCGAGTGTCAAAGTAACGTTGTGTCGAGAGTTTTAGAAAAATTGAGCTCTCCGAGTGAGAAAACGCGGCCCTTATACATATAGTTGAAAATGCTCTGTACAGTGGCGGGGCATTACCATATAAGGTAGTGGAAATTGGGCCGGGTGCTCACATACGGCATGAGTCAACCCCGTTCAAAGGGTTGTACGCTAGATGTTCGGGCCAACGCCCAAGTCACCAAACGTTTCAGTCCTATACATGAATGATATGTAACAAGGATTTAAATATAAATTGTTAGGAAAGACACATTTTATTGTGTTTATTTACGTAATAATTTGTGTTATGAACTGTAATAATCCTGAAAATGAACATCGTCGACAATGCATCATTATCTACATTCTCATTACTTTCAATTTAATTACTAGTAATAATTAGTTATTAAGGGGCCTTTCTACCTTGCGGGATTTTAAAAACCGAATTTTTTTTTTTGCGTTTTCTTTTAGTATGTAGTCTAGAAAATATATCTACCAAATATTAAATTGAAATTCTGAAAACTAACGAAGTTATAGCCTGCTGAAATGTACCGCGCGTAGGTATAACAACTGGACGTGAAACTTTGAAGCTGTTTTTCTCGAAACTACATTTTTCGGCACTGCGTATGTGATAACAGAAAAACTATTCAAGATATCAACAGGAAATTTATACAGTATCTTTAGAACTAGACTCCCTATAACATGAACTAGGATAATTGCGATATCTGCAATACTTTTTCTTTTATTAACAAAAAGGCAGCCGAATATATGAAAATATTCAGTATTTTTTTGTAAAATATCTGCCATTTTGCCATTTTTTGTTCTTTTGAAAAGATCCTAGTTCGTGCTATAACCACACTCATCTACAGGGTATTTCACCTAACTTGACCACCTTAAATATATCGCTTATTTTGTATGATAGAAAAAAAAGTCAAGGGGAGAAAGTATTCTGTTCGAAGGCGCCAATACAGTGATGGATCGAATTTTTTTTTCAAGGTCATTTTTTTCGAGATTTCAAGGTCATCGTATTTTTTTTAAATGGGACCACATATTTTCGCTACAACAGTCTTATAGCTTATAAAAAGACGAATCCAACGATGTGCGATATGTTGACCTTCACGTGACCTTTAGCGAAGGAATTATGAAATGTTTGTCAGTAACTTCAGTACGCGTTCGGAGACGGTAAATGAAGGAATTTCAATTTCATTGAAACAGTGTACCGTGTAATTGTTTCTGGTGCTTATAAATAGATATTCATATTCTCCTTTCAACGGTTGAAGTATGTTTACAAGCATTATTATTGTAAGAGTGGAATGACCGAAGCGGGTCAATAGCGCGTTGTCAAAAAGCCGCGACGTACACAACAAGTTGCGGTATCGATAGCAGTGTAATAAGATTCTCCATCATGTACACTACAGCAGAAAAAGTGGAAATGATTTTATGATCGCCGGATCTTACGCCACTTGATTTCTTTCTGTGGGGGCACCTAAAAAATACAGTTTACAATGATATTCCCACAACAGCAGAAAACATGCGACAAAGGATTCTACATGCATGTAGATCAATTACTGTAGAACAACTGAAAAATGTTCAGCAAGAATTTATTTACCGCCTCCAAAAATGTATCCAGGTTCATGGTGCACATTTTGAACACCTTCTAAAATAAACATTTAATTTAAGACTGTTTCAATGAAATTGAAATTCCTTCATTTACCGTCTCCGAACGCGTACTGAAGTTACTGACAAACATTTCATAATTCCTTCGCTAAAGGTCACGTGAAGGTCAACATATCGCACATCGTTGGATTCGTCTTTTTATAAGTTATAAGACTGTTGTAGCGAAAATATGTGGTCCCATTTAAAAAAAATACGATGACCTTGAAATCTCGAAAAAAATGACCTTGAAAAAAAAATTCGATCCATCACCGTATTGGCGCCTTCGAACAGAATACTTTCTCCCCTTGACTTTTTTTTCTATCATACAAAATAAGCGATATATTTAAGGTGGTCAAGTTAGGTGAAATACCCTGTATATTAAGAATATCGTTGGTTTTTGGATTTCGGATAACTTGTTCGCATGATATCACATACGCAGTCGGGCGCCGTTCCTAAAAACTGTTGTTTGTTGATCAACAAAAACAGCGTAATCAATAGACTTTGACATCTTGGAAAAGGATCTTGTGGCCAGTCTCAATCTGGTGTTCGGCTACAGCTGACTGTACGTAACCCAATCTGGAGCATCTTTCGTGTTCCTTTAGGCGAGTATTGACACTCCTCCCAGTTTCACCGATGTACACCTTACCGCATGAGCAGGGTATTTTGTATACACCTGGGCAGGTAAGGGGTGGACACGGGTCTTTGGCAGAGGTTAAGATTTGACTCACCTTTTGAGCCGGTTGGAATATCGTTTTAATATTATATTTTTTGAGAACCCGCGAAATCCTGTCTGTTATTCCCTGTAGATAGGGTAAAAACGCAATAGATGTTAGGGTGTTTTGTGAAGGTGGGGATTGTGTATTTGTGTTACCTGGTGTATTGATTATTTTGCGCATTGTGCGGTTGATCTGAGGTGTAGTGTAGCCGTTCTTAATTAGAGCTGTTTTTACGTTGGTGAGTTCTTGTTGAAGAGAGGATGGTTCTGAAATTGAGACTGCTCTGGTGATTAAGGAAGAAATGACCGATACCTTTTGGGATGGATGATGGTGTGAAGAAGCTTGTAGATATCTGTCTGTGTGAGTAGGTTTTCGGTATACTTTATGTCCAAGAGTGCCGTTGTGTTTTCTGTTTACCAGGACATCCAGGAAAGGGATTTGCTGGTTCTTCTCTATTTCGACTGTGAACTTGATAGATGGGTGTATCAAATTAATGAAGTTATGGAAACTGTTTAGTGCCTCTCTACCATGTCTCCATATTACAAAAGTGTCATCCACATATCGGAACCAGGCCGTGGGTTTGGCTGGAGCATTCTCTAGAATGGTTTTTTCTAGGTGTTCCATGAAAATGTCCGCCACCACTGGTGAGATGGGTGAACCCATTGCTGCGCCTATTTCCTGTCTGTAGAATTCACCTTGGTAAGTGAAGTACGTGGAGGTGAGGCAGTGCTCTATGAGTGGGATTAAGTTCGAAGGGATTAAGTTGGTATTACGGATGATGTCTAAAGTTTCTGGAATTGGGATGCTGGTGAATAGTGACTCAACGTCGAAGCTGACAAGGATGTCTTGAGGAAGAACTCTGATATTATTGATCTTCTTGACGAAGTCGGTGGAATTTTTGATGTGTGATGAAGTATTGCCTGTAAGCGGTTGCAGAACACGACAGAGGTATTTGGCTAGATTGTGTGTAGGTGAATTGATGGCGCTGACTATAGGACGTAAAGGAATATTGTCTTTGTGGATTTTTGGTAGTCCATAAAGTTTAGGTGGTTGTGGTTCTGTCGAGGTAATGGATTTGGAAATTTCTGGCGAGAGGTTAGCTTGTATAATAAGCTGGTTAGTTATTCTGGAAATTCTAGGTGTAGGGTCCTTGTTTATTTTGGTGTACGTTGAGGTGTGCAGGAGGTCCTGGATTTTGCTATTGTAATCCTTCCTGTACATGACGACTGTGGCGTTGCCTTTGTCTGCCGGCATGACAAGAAGGTTTTTGTTTTTACGGAGGTTAAGGAGTGCTAAGTGTTCCTGTTTTGTAATATTTTGGGTTGGAAGTTTGGCGTGTTTGAGGGCATTGGCTGTGAGTCTGCGGACTTCACAGGCTGCCTCAGGAGGGAGTCGGAATACCGCATTCTCAACTTGGCAAATGATTTGTTCAGTAGGAATATGTCGAGGAGTGATTGCAAAGTTTGGACCTTTGGATAGGATAGACAGAGTGTCGTTCGAGAGAGGTTCGTCCGTAAGGTTTTTAACTGTATTAGTCAAGGAGTTGGTGTTCGGTTTTGGCGGACAGAGTTTTTGAAACTTCTCCTTTTGTTTGTTGCTTCTGAGTACATATGTTTTGGCAGACTGTTCGAAAGAAAGACGGTCAATTTTTGCCCAGAGAAAGTGAGTAATAGTGGAAGAAAGGAAAATGTGAAGTGAAAAAAGCTCAATTAAAAAATTTTTTTACCAGCTGCCCAATTAAAAACTTTTGGATGGTGCACTGATCCGCAACGATGGACACAGGTATAAGTTAGGGCCCCCTCTGATACTTTCTTCAGTATCAGAGATTATTTGATTCCCTGATGAAGCTAGCTGCAATGCTGGCGAAACGTCGGACTCTCTCGTCTTCTGAACGCGGCTCCAACCCGGAAGCCAATTCTAGTAGTATGAACATAGTTGACAATCTTCCACTATTTGCATACTGATTGCCTTGCATTTAATTACAATTACATATTTGGGATTTAAATTTAAATCCGTAATAAAGCCACATTTAATTGTGTTTATTTACGTGATAATTTGTGTTATGAACTGTAATGATTCTTAAAATGAACATCGTCGACAATGCATCATTATCTACATACTCATTACTTTGTATTTAATTACTAGTAATAATTAGTTATTAAGGATCCAAATTTAAGTCGTTAATAAAGTCACATTCAAATCGAGTTTATTTACGTAATTTGTGTTATGCACAGTAATGATTCTTAAAATGAACATCTCTCCGAGTCAACTTACGAATCGCGTCTGGGGCTCATTTCAAGAATCATTACTGTATTAGTTTACTAATAATCAGTGAAGAAACTGTACGAATATGGTGCAATAGCTTTCCTAACAATAATGCAAAATAATTTAAAATTACTGCTTAAATTGGGGTTTCTAGTCATAACTAGCAGTGCAAATAATGCAATCAATTTGTAGGTATTTTTGGTCGGTCTCTGGTATATTTTGCACATCCCACGAGGATGTGTTTCTTAGCGAGGCGCTCGTATTATAGATCCTCGTGCATCCTAATTAATGAATAGCTAACCCAGTAATCCTAAACTCTGCTGCGGCCGCTTGCGTACATGCCCGTTCATTAATTTTTACACTAAAAGTGTTCCAGATTCGGGAACACGAATAGCTGCGTTCGTTAGCTGTACGAATTAACTGTTACGTTGTAATATGAATTTTTAATAAAATAACTATTTATGAAATGGTCGCATAAGACGATGGAAGTGGACAAAATTTTCTATGGAGAATTTATTCATTTTCTATTATTAATTTGTATAAGAAATACTTTTATTTTTATCAAAAGAGACTTCTACTTCAAACACCTTGAAAGACGAATGTTTTCAAAAATCTAAGAAAGAAAAACTATTCAATTAGTTGTTTTAAAATGTATTCAATAGTGTGTTACATATCATTCATGCATGGGGCTGAAACGTTTGGTGACTTGGGCGTTGGCTCGAGCATCTAGCGAGCAACCCTTTGAACGGGGTTGACTCATGCCGTATGCGCACACCCGGCCCAATTTTCATTGCCTTTTATGGTAATGCCCCGCCTTAGTACTGAGCATTTTCAACTATATAAGGGCCGCGGTTTCTTACTCGGGGAGCTCAGTTTTACCTAAACTCTTGACACGACGTTACTGTGACACTCAGGGCAAGATCGGGCTATAATCCCCTTCAAGCAACTATCTACGACTATCTACCTTAGCGGTTTATCAGTGAGTGTCCAGTAATCGAGTGCGAGCTCCCGCGAACGCGCCGCGTAAAAGCCGATAACAAATCTTTCGCCTTCGAGGCAATTTAGCAATTGTACAACTTCTTGTAAATCCATAGCTGTACTTGAGCATCGTCAAAAATATATATTCAAGTTATTATTCCTTACGTGTGTTATTCACTCAAAGCAACCCTGAACCATATTAACCGTAAGGCTAGGGGTATCTCACGAACCCGGTACACCTTTACCGCTCGAGGTGTACCATCACGACAGAGAGCAAGATCCTAAAACATCCTAAAAACCTACGTGGCTCCCAGGGTATAAAGCCCCTGGTTCGTCCACTCCTACTAGCGGCTCCCAGGGTATAGAGCCCCTGGTTCGTCCGTGAAACCATTCATTTTCCCTATAAATCTAACCCCGTGGCTCCCAGGGTATAGAGCCCCTGGTTCGTCCACGTAACCTCCACCTACGGCTCCCAGGGTATAGAGCCCCTGGTTCGTCCGGACATATTTTCTTTTCCTAACCATACCCAAAACCACCGGTCGAGTACTGCCCCTCGACCGAATCCAGGATCTCGCGCTCCCGCTCGTAACAAGTGTTACTATCAAAAAATATTTGGAAATTTTTTTACAATATTACAAATAATATTTTACAACATAATTGTCGGTTGTTTTTTTACTCAAAAGTAAAATCAGAAGTTTACTATTAGCACGTTGACTAAAATCTTAAAGTAAATAATAAAGTATTAAAAAAAGGCCGCATTTTAAAGGATAAACACCTCTAACTTCAATTTCCTCCAAAGAATGTTCATACTAATAAGCGAAAGAATAATAAATTTAAAAAATTAGATGTAATTCAAGTGCCAATAAAAAATTTTAAAAATTTTGTCCGCTATCGAAACAATCATGTATTTAAAGAATAAAGTGACCCCTTCATAACGACCCCAACAAACTTAATATCTAAAGCTACTTTAAGCAAGTTAGATTTTTTATTAACTACGTTCACGTTTAGCTCCATTCGCGTCCGCCTCATACGGACATAATCCATTCGTGTCATCGGCTCGATTCGAATCAATGTTCTTAAAATAAATTGCACTGACGTATTGGTCCATCGTTTCGTTGCTGCGACCATAAACGTAACAAACGAGCAGTTCGTAACGCCGGAATGGATCGTTGCAGAAAATCCAACGCGTGTCCGTTTTTGTCCAGAGATGGTGGCGAGCGTGACGCGCCCGTAATTTGCATGCCATTTGTAAATCGTAGCCGCAATAAATATCCTATCGTGCACGGTGGCAATCAGACATGCTGACAATGTGCAAATCAAGAGAGGGAATAACGGCCTCCGAGTTATCACCTCGATGCTCCTCGCGGCTTCATATTTTCTCATTAATTACGACCGTGAGACGCGCGACAATCGATTAGGCGTGCACGTTGCAGTTTCTCGAGTTCGTTGTCGCGCATATTCGCTCGCTTCGCAACTTGAACGCAATTTCATCTTCGAGCACTCACTGCGTCGCTTTGAATCTTGAGAAGAGCCTTTCGCGTCAAAAATATTCAGAGTTTGGCAAATTTCGTTATTTGTAAATTGGAAATTAATGGATTTGTTGAATCAAACGCAAAATAATTTAGGAACGAATGTAAAAAACAGTAGCAAAAATTGTTTGCAAGTTGGAAGGAAATTTGGAAATTGTGGCGCTGCTTCGCTGCGTGTAGGAACTTGCGAGAATTTTGTAGGAAGGTAGAAAAGGAAAGGAGGAAAAGCGCGTTCCGTTTGGGCCTGCTAGTAGACTCATCAGTAAGGCTTTCTAGCAGGCCCTGCCTTAGACGATTCGGATATTGGGAAATCGGTCGAGGAATGTATATATAGCAATCGAGGGATCGGTCGAACGCTTGTGAGAGCGCGACCCCTCTGGTGGCGGGCATGGGAGGCGACACCACAAAGTAAATTCGAATATTTTCTATTTGTTCAATTTAGTACGACGTTTCGAATTTTTTTAGTGTACAGGGTGTCCCATGCAACTGGTACAAGCTATACCTCCTAAACGGTTGGGAATAGAAAAATATGTTATAAGTCAAAGTTAAATGGTATCAGACGATGCGTAATATGCAACTAATTTTATGCACTTTTGTGCATCGGTGCATCAGAAAAATGCAACGGCGCCTTTTTTTTAAATGGATACCTGCATCTTTGACTGCACCAATCAATGTAGTTTTTTATACTCTACATGAAAGTACTAACATACTTATGCCCTAAACTTATTCGTTAGGAAGTTATCCAAGATAAAAGTTCTCTGAATTATTTCGGTCTCTCAGCAAGCGTTCCGGAGTACTTACGTTACAACAAGTGATCGAACGGTCCTCAATTGCAGTCCAAGCATCTTTCCATTCGTTTCTTGATGTTGCGTAATGCGTTCCTGATGTCTCTTTCCGTAATTTTGGATATTTCTTGTTGAAAGTACCTCTTGTTTTGCCGTACACTTAGAGGAATCTCTGTATCGTGGAAGAGAACTGGTAGGTCGGATTCCAGAAAGTTTAGCTATCTTTGACCAGTCAATGTTCCGTTAAAGAAATGTGGACCGATAATCCATTTGTCAAAAATTCCACACCTAACATTTACACTGTACCGTATTTGATTTTTAGTGTTCCTTCTGAGGCGTGGATTTTCAACGGACCATGTATGTTCATTATGTCGATTGAACATCCCATTGTTTGTAAATGTCGCCTCGTCTGTCCACAGAATTTGAAATACAATCTTTTCATTTTCCTGAATACGCCGTAAGAAATATCGACAACAGTTCATTTTTCGGATTTCGTCTCCATGCTGCAATGTTTGCCCAACGGAAAACCGATAGGGATAAAAGTTCTGTGTTCTTAGAATGCGTTGAACCGAGAATTTTGAAATTCGACATTCTCCAGCCAGATCTCTCACAGACACATGTGGATTTAATTCGACGTTCGCTAGCACTACTGTCTCACTACACTCAGTTCCACAAGAGCGTGTAGTTCCTAATTTTG